GTTTTTTTTTTTTGTTATACAACACAATTTCCCAAAAATAAAGATCTAATAAGTTCCTACAATCATCAAGATATTCAACAACAAGAAAAAGTAAATACCATAGTACCTCATAATCATCATCATACTATATATGGTGATACCATCATTTCGTTGCATGGTTCCAGTGAAAATTTATATAACCTTTAGTTTATCATAGTAATATTTTCTTTCAAGTGGACGCACAAAATATTTAAATATAGTACAATAGTATTTTTTAAAATCTTATTTTGGGTGCTGACCGATGACCAAATGCTCGGCTAGCAATTGGAACCATATCCCAAGACATGGGTTTTAGATAGAACAAAATAAGTGTCCGAAAGCATATATTCTAATTCAATAGAAAAGATTTTAAATACTTTAATTATCAAATACAAACGTCATTATTTTGTAATGTATTAAAAACCAGAGGCAAATTACGTTGGGCATCAAACTAAGCATATGTAGTTACGCTCAAATTCACACAATTAAGACCTCGTTGGATTTTGAAATTTTTGTTTTTAGTTTCTTTTTAATCGACTAATCAAAAAAGTCAGAGAGACCTCTGTGGAAAGGCACGTGTTCTTGGATTAGATTTCACGTGGGAATGAGTTATCCATGTGCAAATACCACAAAAAGGCTCCTATTTTTCAAAACTAATAATATTAAAGTTCAAATTTCTTCTTTCTTACTCTGTTATTAAAGCTTTTTGATCTATACGTTAAGCAATATATGCCTTGTTTTTATTCGTTTGTTTTTGAAATAGATAGTTGCTTATGATTTATGAAAACGAGATTGTTAGATTTGATTTAGAATAATTATAAATAATACATTAATCTGACATTGACGTTGAATGATTCTATTCAAATGAAGAATTTTGACGTCATTAAAAGATCGTTATTTAGAGACTAGAGTATATCGTTAGATATAAACATTTTCAAGAAAATACTAAAAGATCGAAATAGAGGACCAGGCACAAGCTTGGTAATGCTTTGCTGAAAAGTTGTGAATAATGCAATAAAACTCAACGAAAATAAATAAAAATATTCGAATCAGAAAATATTTTTTATTTAATGTGGCTTCCAAACCAGAGACTTCTTCTAAAAGCATCATTTGGATGGTTGAGAGCCTTTCTTCTCTAGGCTATGTCAATGTGATCTTTGCAGCAGAGGACAAGGACTTGGTTCAAGCGGTTTCAAGACCTCAAGCATGGCCTGCCTTCAAGTTTCACTCGTACAGTCTACTCTCTCTTTTTAGAGGTTTTCCTGTTTGGAGATTGGTTTGGAAACCTAAACTAGCTAACTTAGGTGCGTTCAAGATCGCGGATAGTGTAATTTCTGGGAATCGGATACAATCATATATTGTCAGTGGACCTCCGTTTTGGCTTCAACAGTTTTTTGGTTTGGAGGGTCGTCAATAGCCTTTGTAATGCATGTGTGCATTTTTGCTTCTTGGCTCATTGATTGTATGGGATTCTTGTCCTTCCCTGTTTTGTGTTTGTAAATAACCTCTTTTTATATAATCTACTTTCAATGAAAAAAAAAAAAGTTATGGAGACAAGAATCGATACAAAGGTGTACTCTGGAGTCAGGACATGAAAGCAAAAATAAAAAAGGGATTTGCAATAATTGGGAAAACATGTGAATAAAAGTCTGATTTCACTCACTTTGATATAATATATAGTTTCATGGGCTTTTTCTCTATCACAGGGACAGAATCTTATCTTAATAGTAGGAGACGCTTAATAGGCACTGTGTTTTGGCGGCTACGATTAGCGTTTAAGAATTTAGACTTGAAAGTGTGTTTTATTAAGAGTGGGACACTTATAAAAAGCATAAGGATACAACAATTGAGACACTCACATGTATATCACATAAGTGGATGGTCCTCAATGTGTTCTTTGTAGGACATTTCTGAGTATGTCAAAAACTTATTTCACATGGTACACTCATACATTAGCCCCACTTACGAGTACTGTCTAGAAAAGTTTGGGACTAGAAAATATTCTTGGCTCAAATATGGTCCATAACATATTAAATGGAATTCGAAAGTATGAAAAAGTTAAAATATTTTGTTTGTGTGAAAAAATAATCGAAATGCGATTAGATTTGACCTAAAATCCTAATTTTTTTTCAATACTAGTTTCAAATAGTGACAGTGCAGTACGAGATCAATTATGTACGCTGATGGTCCGTATATATGGGTATCGATTTTGTTACTATTCGGTGTGGGAAGATACAAGACATGATTAGACTTTACCCTAATTGTACACATTAACCTTATTAAAAATAAATGTAATCATATGATTAGGTTTCACTCTAATTGACACATTGATCCCACCAATCATCTTGGGTTTATCAATTATCTCTGTTTTTGAGTTTGGTCGGCCTATATATACACACACAGAACACTCTATGTGGGCTTTGAGTGTTGGTGATGGCTAGGAAAATGTCAAGTTTTAAAGCTATTGGGCCAAACAGATACAAACATAAACAAAGAATGGTTCTGTCTCCTTTTGAAATACACAAATCATACATTCTAAATCATAAGTGTTTTACGTACAATTTGTAGAAATTACATCAATTTCTATTGGCCATATAGCTTATTCGAGATGCACAAAGAAAACGGGAATCAAGCGAAGCTGACCGAGCTATATTAAAATGCTAATTTAAATCGAAATCGAATTTGTTTTATAAATCGTCTGATCACATAAATGTGTTTTATAAGTAGCTAGTGTTTTATAGCTGATCATCTTATATCGAAAACTAATTGTTATTTAGCTTACTTAGCTAATCACATAAATTAATTTCTTGAGCCTTGCTCTATTAGCTTTTCTTGTTATACACATATAGTTTTTTCTTTTTTCCTCTTGTTAAAATTTCATATGAAAATTCCGTCGATCAGTGGAAAATGATAAGCATGATCTTAAGCATTGCCTATATGACTTGTGCGACGGGCCAATATTTGCCCATCCTATGGCTAGTCATATTATACGGACAACCATTTGTCTACTAACGAGATTTTTTGCCACTAATTTGTTCTACACTTTTAAACAAAAATAAAATACATCCTAGCTTTTTTTTTTTTCTGAAAAGACCAAACAATTAAAATTAGATGTTTAAGATTTTATGTATCTAATCAATAAATTACAATAACTAATTCAACATAAGAAACTAAAAATAGTGTATGATTTTTTTCTTAAATAGATGATGTGGGTTATGTCTTACAAATAGTAAACTTTACCAAAAAAAAGTACAATAATCATCATCTATACTTTAGTCATATAATAAAAAATCTTGTTTTTTTTCTTTCAAAAAAATGGTTTTAAATAAACTTTTACACAATCTCAAAATTAATTACACAATCTCAAAATTAATTAAAAAAAACTTCGGTTGGAAAAGAATTTGTATCCTAAGAATTGTTTTTGGTCTTATGATTGTGTAATAGTTATACTTTAATCAATGATTTGTGTGATATATGCAAATTGATAAAAACAAAAAAATACCGTTTTACATTTCTGGTTAAAAAAACGGTATTGTCCCGCGTTTTTTTAAAATATCGTTAGTTAAAGAAAAACGGTATTGTCTCGCGCTTTTCCATCTAAACTATTTTATGGAAATCTAAACTAATTCGTGAATTCATAAGATCATTTCCTAAAGTATACATATATATTGTATCATTATTGTGTTAATGTTGGATTTTAATCTACGGATACGTGAGTTTTCTTTAGTCATTTATATGTGTATATATAAGCCAAAAGTACCCCATAATTTTGAGAAAGTTTCTCAGCAAATTATTATTTTTGGCATATAATGTCGAAACCTAGTCTAATCCAAAAATCTCCATAAATTAAAAGTCAGTATCTTTTGATTTTAATTAGTACTTTAACAAG